CCATCTCTTTTATTTTCAAGGACCACCATCAAATATCAACATACAGAATATTTCAGAAATCATATACTTCAAATCCATTTGTAATGGGAACTTTAAACACAAAAGGTTTCTTCCCAAAGAATGGGACACACCAACCAGTAATAGAAACACACATCAAAATCATAAAGAGTCAATACACCATTTATCCTTGCAATACTTTTCTCCAGAAATGACAATGTACAATTTCAACACCTGAGTATGTAAGAACTCGAATCACACTAGATATATTTATAAAGCAAAGCATTAGTTAAAGCAGCCACTTATGGGCATGAATTGAGTACAAAATCTTTTGGGCAATTCTATTTTCGAAATTATTTTTAAAAAAATGAGTCGAGGCTCATTTCATATTCTTTATCGCATCCTCTAATTTCATTTGCACTACTAGCCACGGTCATAACTTAAATTCTTGGCACGTTGGCGATACTTTATATCCCCAATTCACTTATTTCATTTTCAAGCATCTTTATAGATTATCAACAACAAGATATTTTCACTTAAGACTTTAGGTACACATTTGAACAATTTAGAGTCTTAAGCACATCGAGTTTTTCTCACCCAATTAGTATACTAGCTTTCACTTAAAACACGACTCAAAGTCATAATATTTTAATATGCAAATCATACTTTGAACATATATCTTTCGACATAAGGCTCATTCGGAATAGTCAAGTTTATAGGAGATAACCCGGAATATATAAATTAGAAATCTTGAGCCAACCATACTTGAACTTACGGGAACAGTATGGAATTCGATTCTAAGAGAGAAAGTATAGCCAACATGCCTTGATGGAGCTCTTTAGTGTTATTAAAACCACTCACTACTCTTACAACTTCAATCTACATCAACTAATCCAATTGGACCAATATTAGTAAATATTTCCAGGTTTTTGATCATTTTGGCATTTTATCAAACACCTAGAGTGCATAGAATTCAACTACCTCTAGTAATGGTGTTTCTTCATCCAACAATACCTCCTTACTACCAACAAGAGATACTACAACATCCTTTATCTACTAACTACCTTCTTAGCATCATTATAATCATCAATGAACTCACATCTACTAAATTTTACTAATTAACTCATTACAAAATCTCTACAACACCCAATAATCTAGTTTAAGTATTTATGGTTTCCAATCACCATCTCATAAGCGCTAGTACTTATTCCTTGCTCATTTATTCACTAACAATCCATGCATGTAGGTTTAAGGGTGAAAGATTACCTCTTGTAGACCAAATCTTGAAAGTCAACTTTTGGGGTGTTCTTGAGATTTTGAAGAAATCCTATAAAATCCAATCAAAACCTTGTTGTAGCTAGTGATTGAGAAGTGGAATCATTATAACAACACACTTAAAAACTTACCTTAGGTAGTATGAGAACTCTTGGATGACTTGAGCATGAGAGGGGAGGTTTAGTCTTCAAAGAATGAGGCTTTTTTCTCACTCCATGTCCCTTTTATTTAAATTTCACGCCTTTGGTGTCATGGTTCGCGCCCAAAACCACCCAAAACGCCCCAAACATTTTACTTTTGACTTTGGCATTTTGATTCGAGCCTGGCACCCTCCTGGGCGCCCAAAACGCGGCCCATTTTTCTGACAGGATAGTTTTCAGTAAAACGCCTATAACGTTTTATAGAAACATCGAAATGACAAACGGTTTGATGCGTTGGAAACTAGACTCAAAGCGCTTTAATTTGATAGGTAGATCACCTCCTAAGTCTTTATAGTTTGGTAGCAGCATGCATTTAAAGTAAGATTTTATGCGAATTGAGACATCTTTTCCACTTAATGTATCCAACTTGTTCCACACAAATTCTTGTCATTCACAAAACTCTTTAGTATGTTCCAACACACCTTAAACATATATTTTCATTTCAAAATGATGTGATCCTATCCCATAGGTCTTCTTTAATACTCGAATATATTATTACCAAATACAGTTGGCGCACTTTAAAATCTTAAATCATTAGAAAATTTTAACGGGACATAGAGCAAAAGTGTGTGCAGATGAAAAGGCATCGCTAACATGTAAAGATGAATTTGTTTTATAAAAAGGGATAATTTCATAAACCTTCCCTCACATTTCGCTCCATCACACCCTCGTGATTTACAATATTACGAGCACCTCCTTTATTTTAATTTTTTGTAATAATTTTTTTAATTTATTTAGTTTTAATATAAAATATTATGATGGGAAATTAAGTCCCATCATAATATTTTATATTAAAATAAATAGATTAAAAGAATTGTTACAAAAAAATCAAAATAAGGGAGATAAATATAATATCGTAAACCACGAGGGAGGTCAGTGTGACGGAAAGAAACGTAAGGGGAGGTCTCTAAAATTAACTTTCAAAAAAAATAATTACACATTATAATAAGTTACAAGAAACCAACAGCATATCATCATATCATATTGTACTAAAAGTGGGAACCTCTAAAGTCAAACTTGAACTACCAAATTACCCATTAAATACTTAGTGATTATAATACCCTTAGAGAAAAAAATTATTTCATAAGCCAATACATTAACTAACATTCTATTCGCTGCTATAAGAAATATGGAGAACTTGAACAATTGCATTTTATAGTTCAATATATACTAAAAGCAATTGAATATTTTAACTGTCATATCATACTGTTCTAGAAATAAGTACACTTGAGCAGTTACACAAATTCAAATAAGCTAAGTGTATGGGCTAAAATTTATCACAATTAAATGTGGGTCTAGTCGACATTAAGAAAGCCTTTGCAGGTCGCCATATGCTATCGATTCAATTAATCTAGGTCGACGTCACGAGATCGAGATGGCTTAACAGAGAACGAAGACGAGGATGAGCATTCTCATCAGAGAAGCAATAACGGCTAGTTTTAGAAATAAGACCCTCCAGAGAATATTTCACTGAATATTCTTTCCCGGCTGTACTATTTAGGGTTTTGTGGCCCATGTACCCTTATAAATAGAATGATATGTAGTTAAAGAGGGGATTGGACACTCATTGTAAAAGAAAATATATTGACATTCTCTAAAGATTCTTACTTTATCATTGACATACAAAATACATCTTTTCTTTAGATCTTTATCTATCTTTTCTCCCACGATCCAAGGAGGATCCGAATATTCAAAGGCTTATCATCATCTATCCTTGTCAGAAGGAATATCAAAAAATCTCACCCTTTTCGGGTGCTTCATATGCATTTATTTACATAAATACCATTTATTATTATTTACTGCCATTTAATGTTACCTTCTTTGTTCTTGGATCATTGAATATAGCATTATTGTCGCTATTTATTGCTACTCAAATAATATATGTGGCATCCCACTACAAAATCAGTTAATCTATCTTTTGGATATTAATATTAGGTAAGATTATCTCTATTTTATTAGAAAATCTTATTGTTTAAACCTAGATCTAAATTTTGAGTCAAACAGTTTGGCATCGTCTGTGGGGATTTTCTCAGCCAATCTTTTAGTTTCCATTAGATCTATAACTCACCTGACTTGTTAATCTAACAAACCACAAAGTTTATCTCTCCTCTCTGTGCGTACAAAAATTTCCATGACAGGTAACCAAGGAAACGAAACGAGGGCAACATATAATATTCCTCTTAACCTCATGAACGCCATCAACGAAGGCTATGACACCCAAGGCGAGGAAGTGACACCCACGGCCTCACCCAAACGAGAGAGGTCGCATGCCCCTTTCTGCAGTGCAACAAAACCAAATAGGAAAAGAGCCTCTACATCCACGGAAGAAGGGGCACCACCCGCTATGAAAAAGTTCCTCGAAGCATGGATAACTGATACTCTAGTCAGTGTGATCAACAAACAAGCCCCAAGCATGACTGTAAAAACCATAAGAGCCCACACAGTACGGCACAGAAATGGCCAAGATAACCAACTAAACCCTCCAAACCCAGGTAACACTCACAAGATTACTAACAATGCAGGTGATAGTGCCCCTGCCGCCGTACTAAAAAGAATGGAAGAAATGGAAAATGAGAATATGGCACTCAAAGAACAAATGAGGGAGCACTAGGAATAGGTAGACAAAATACTAGGCGCCCCCAAATTGTTGCCAAAAAGGGACGCCAACAGGTTTGTAGAACAGCCGTATAGCGAGGAAGCAGCTCCACATGCCATACCAAAGACCTTCAAGATTCCCCTGTGTCTCAGAATCTACAACGGGATGACCGACCTCGAAGATCATGTGACTCACTACTTTACCACTGTGAAAGGCAACGACCTCACAAAAATGCAAGTGTCCTCCATCTTGCTGAAAAAAATTGGTGAAACCCTCACTAGAGGAGCTTAACATGGTATTCACAATTACTAGCTCATTCCATAGAAATGTTCGAAGAGATGGCCGACAAGTTTGTGACAACGCATGTCGGGGCCAAGAAAGCTAAAACTAGAGTAAACGCCGTCTTCGCCATTAAGCAATCCCCAGGATAGGGATTGAGGGACTTCCTCGATCGATTCAACATGGTGAGGATGACCTTACCAAATGTTTTCGAAGGGATGGCCATTGCAACTTTTCAGAATGGGTTGAGCATAGAGGGTTCGAAGGCAACCAGAAAGCTACTGAGTCGGTTAATGAAGTATCCACCGACCACTTGGGATGAAATCCATAATGCCTAGTGTACCGAGGTCAGAGCAGATGATGACGGCCTCAATGGACCAACTCGACGACTCAACTCGGTACAATTTGAGCCCAGGAAAGAACGCAGGGTCAATACGAGGAGAGACCACCCAGCACCACGGCCAGCAAGGAACGACACCAGCCCTATGTCAGGATACCCGTTCCCTCTTTCCGTTATGAAGACGGCCCGTCTAGGCCGAGATCAGGAACTCACATGAACGATCGAGGTATACCCCCTTGTTATTTGCTCATAATTTTGGTGTGTCACCTATAGAAGTGGTCTACGCTCTCGAGAATCTCGAAGCAAAGGTCAAATGGCCGATGAAGATAAGGTCGGACCCAACCACAAGGAAACCAAACGCCCTCTGCGAGTTCCACCAAGAACATGGACACAATACAGAAGATTGCATCGCCCTAAGACTAGAGGTGGAAAACTTACTGCAACAAGGGCACCTCAAAGAACTACTCAGCAACAAAGGCAGGAGCACCTTAGCAAGGGGTCGAGAATGTCCAGGCCGACCAAACCACCTTCACCAGCTCGCACTATCAATATGATTATTGGCGGTAGTGGCGATGCCTCTATCAACGGCATTAAATTCACAACCACTCACAAGCTCAAAAGATCGATCACCCACGAACGGTATGACGGACTCGAAGAAAGTATCATCATCGATGATTCAGATGCTAACGGTTTGAGTATTTCTCATAACGATACATTTGTCATTACTTTACAAATTTTAGATATTGGTATTAAGAAAATTATGGTAGATGACGGATGTGGAGCGTGCATCATCCATCCCCGAGTTCTCGCACAGATGAAACTCGAGGATAAGATAGTGTCGTGTTGCATTACACTAACCAGTTTTAAAAATGCAGTTGAATGGACTTCGGGAGAAATCACACTCCCCGTTCTTGCCAACGGAGTGACTCTAGAGATGACATTTCATATCATGGACCAGGACACAACATACAACGCCATCGTGGGACGACCATGGATACACCCTATGAGAGTCGTCCCCTCCAGCTTATACCAAGTTATAAAATTACCAACACCTTGGGGAATATTCAGCATACAAGGGGAACAACGTACGTCTAGGGAATGTTACCGAATCGCCATGGACAGCACGACAACTCAACAAAAGAAAGATAAGGAAAAAGAGGCATAGCAATCAGCAGGGTCGAGGTTACCACAAGTCGAAACCAAAGAAGTTATTATGGACCTAGAGATGATCGAAGCCACATAATCAACCATAGAAGACTTCGACCCCGTCCAGCTAGATCATAATGACCGCAACAAAAAGGCCTATATCGGCTGCAAACTCCGAGAACCAGGTAAATTTAGTCAATTCTTAATTACAAACGCAGATTTGTTTGCCTTCAGTCATGCAGATATGCTAGGCATCCCCAAAGAAATCACCACACATAAACTAAATGTTGACCCCTTCTACCCCCCGATAAGGCAGATCCGACGAAAGTTCAACCCCACCATCAATGAGCCTATCCACGAGGAAATAGAGAAGTTATTGGCAAACAGCTCCATTAGGGAGGCGAAGTACCCCAAATGGATTGCCAATATAGTGATGGTCAAAAGAAAAATGGGAAAGGGGGGATGTGTGTAGACTTCACAGACCTAAACAAAGCATACCCAAAAGATTCATTCCCTCTACCACACATCAACCAACTCATTGACGCAACGGCAGGACACGAGCTGTTAAGTTTTTTGGACGCTTACTCAGGTTAACACCAAATACTCATGGAGGAATAAGACCAAGAGAAAACTATGTTCATCACCCACAGGGGAACGTATTGTTATAGAGTCATTCCATTTGGATTGAAGAATGCAGGGTCTACCTATAAAAGGTTGGTCACAAAAATATTCAAAGACCAACTCATCAAAACTATGGAGGTGTATATCGACGACATGTTGGTCAAGTCCGTGAAGGCAGAGGATCATATCGACCACCTCAAGGAAGCTTTCGATATACTAAGAAAGTAAGGAATGAAACTAAACCCCGAGAAATGCACGTTTGGTGTAGCCTTAGGAAAATTTTTAGGCTTTTTGGTATCACAACGAGGGATTGAGGTCAACCCAGATCAAATTAAGGCTATCGACGGGATACCAGAAAAATTTACAACTAAGAAACAAGTCTAGAACTTATCGATTGAATTGCCGCCCTATCCAGATTCATCTCGTGGTCGTCCGACAGGTGTCACAGGTTTTTCAACGTACTCAAGGCCTCAAGTGGATGCCCGAGTGTGTACAAGCAGTACGAGAACTGAAGGCGTACTTGTCATCACCACCCTTGCTCTCAAACCCCGATACCGGGGAGCGCCTTCTCATTTACCTTTCTATCTCGGAAGTAGCAGTAAGTGCAGTCTTGGTTCGAGAAGACAAAGGTACGTAATCTCCAATTTATTATATCAGTAAAACACTTGTCAACACTGAGATAAGGTACCCCCACCTCTAGAAACTAGCCTTGACCCTGGTCGTAGCTTCACGAAAGCTTAGACTCTATTTTCAATGCCACCCTATATCGGTCATCACCATTTTTCCTTTAAGAAGCATATTACATAAACCTGGGCTGTCGGAGAGGCTAGCCAGATGGTCCATTGAGTTAAGTGAGCACGGTATCACGTATCAGCCCTGATAAAGTCGCAAGTACTCGCCGACTTCGTCGCAAACTTTAATGCAAAAGTAATGCCTGAAGCTAAAAAAGGAAGCCACTCAATCTTCTTTTCAGAAACATGATCTTTGGGTCCTACGCGCCAATGACGTGTCCAATGCATGCGGGTCCAGACTGGGACTTATGCTCGAGGTTCCCACCAACGAGATAATTCACCATTCCATAAGATGCCCAAATATGACTAACAACGAGGCCGAGTATGAGGCCGTAATTGCAGGATTAAAACTAGCACTCAAGTACGGGGCGAAGCGATTGAAGCTTCGTTATGATGCTCAACTCGTAGTCAACCAAGTTACTGGGCCCTTTCAAATCAAAGAGCATAGGTTACAGAAGTATCAAACCGAAATCTTCATATTACTACCCAATTTCGACGAATGCCAACTTGACCAAATTCCACGAAATCAGAACGTCGAAGTAGATGGCTCGCCAACTTAGTCGCCGCCACCAAAAGTATAACTCCTAGGGATAAGAGTGTTGTAGTTCATCTCTTCAACTCAGCATTGGACGACATCGAGGTAAAATCTATAGATTTAATGTGGGACTGGAGCAATTGTATTATAAACTATTTACAGGACGGCACCCTCCCAAACGACAAAAAGAAAGCCAAAAAGCTGAGGATGTAGGTTGCCAAGTACAGTCTCCTTCACAATGACTTGCATAAGAGAACGTACGCCCCTTGGTGAAATGCTTAGGCCTGAACCAAACCCAACGCATCCTCGAGGAAGTCCACGAAGGTCATTGTGGCAATCACTCCGGTGACCGAGCACTTATCAGGTGCCTCATACGGCCCGAGTATTATTGTCCCACCATGAAAAATGATGCTCTAGAATTTGTGAAAAAATGCAAGTAATGTCAAAAATACGCCCCGATAATTTACCAAGCACACGAGAACCTCCACCGTATCACTTCTCCGCGGCCTTTCATTAAATGGAATGGACATCGTGGGACCGCTTCCATTAGGATGAGGTAATGTAAAATTCCTTTTAGTTTTAACTGACTATTTATCTAAGTAGATGGAAGCAGGAGCATTCGCCCAAGTTTGTGAGCAATAGGTAATCGCCTTCAAATGGAAAAACATTATCTTCTGATTCGGCCTGCCTAAATAGGTAAGCTATGATAACGGGGCCCAGTTCACGGGAGAAAAACCGCTGAGTTCTTCGAAAAAGGACATATTAAAGGAAACTTTCAACTCCTTATCACCCAGCCGGCAACGGGCAAGCAGAATCCTCCAACAAATCTATCTTAAACATAATGAAGAAAATATTTGAAGATGCCAAGTGACTGTGGCCAGAAATACTCTCAGAAGTATTATGGGCGCACAGGACAACTCCGAAGACGAGCACAGGAGAGACATTTTATTCTCTGGTCTATGGAATGGAGGCAATAATACCAGTCGAAGAACCCAGCCTGAGGTACTCCCATGAAAGCGGCACCGATAATGATGAGAACAGGAGACAAGACCTCGACGAGGTCGAGGAGCGACGAGACATGGCTTACATAAGGATGGTCGCACAAAAATAGCAAGCAGAGCGCTACTACAACAAAAAGTCAAATATCCGACTGCTCAAGGTCGGGGACTATGTGCTCAAAGCCAAGACCCAAGCAAATAGGGACCCATGAGAGGGCAAGTTGGGAACTAACTGGGACAGACCATACAAAATCATAGGCAAAGCAAACAAGGGTTCGTTCCAATTGGAAACTATGGAAGGGAAGCTCTTACCAAACAATTGGAATATCATCCATCTCAAATACTTCAACTTCTAAAAAACAGGAAATATCCCGTAAGTCGTACTCTTTTTTCCCTCACTTGAGTTTTGTCCCAATAGGATTTTCTCAAGGAGGTTTTTAACGAGGCGACGAGTGGGATATTTCAAGTTGGAGTGCACGAGAGGACTAATCTTTTTCATTGCCCGACTCCTCAAGAATCTCCAAGTGAATAATGAAGGGACTAGATATACTGGGACTGGGACACCAGCCAACACCCAAAATTGTAAATTTTCTCCAATAGTTGCCCAAGGGCGAAATGATGTAATTGAAATAGAGATGTTGAAATAATAAATATGTACGTCTAATCGAAACTGATCTCCAAAGGGTACGTTCGACTAGCTCGAACAACACATAGTGGCCCTCGGCCCAAACTTAATAAAAGGTATGTTCGACCAAGCTCGAACAACATCTATCGACCCTCGGCCATGAACTAGTAAAAGGAAAGTTCGACCAGCTCAAACAACTCTTATTGGCCCACGGCCACTACCTAATCAAAGCTACGTTCAAACGGCTTGAATGACTCTTATTTAAACCACGGCTACAACTCTAACTTAAAGGTATGTTCGACCAGCTCGAACAACACCTATCAGCCCTAGGCCACGACAAACTTAAAAGTACGTTCGACCAGCTCTTGGCCAAGACGAACTTAAAGGTACGTTTGACCAGCTCAAACAACACTTATCGGCCCTCGATCACGACTCACTTAAAGGTATGATTCAACCATCTCAAACAATACCTATCGGCCCTCGGCCACGATTTAACTTAAAAGTATATTCAACTGACTCGATCAAAGGCCGATACGGCCCATGGCCACTCAACACCATGGCTATCGCAACTTAGAAGATAACAACGAAGAAAGGAAGTACAGAAGCAAAACACACGAGTACAGAAGTAAAAAAAACAAGAACAAAAACAAATATAAGAAAGGTACGTATAAAACAAGAACCAACTTTGATATTTAGATACAGAGTCTTTACAAAGGCGCTTGAAGACGCCAACAAAAATATATAAGAAGTTAAACAAAAACTAGTGGCCATCACCACCCCGGCCTCCGACGTCCTCTGCATCATCGTCTCGACTGTAAGCAGAGTCATACCAAGCATTATCCGCAAGCCGGTCCACACCCTCTTCCTTACCCTCCTCAAAATCAGGCTGATGCGTGGTGGGATCATAGTCACAGGCGAGTCGGGCCTCACGTCTAGCTGAGCTTCAGCGTGGATCCACTCCCCGTGCTGCTCTCGAGGAATATTAGGATACTCAGAGGCACTAAACGTAGAGGGTTGTACAAGCAGTTGGGCATTCTCGGCCTCAAGAACTGCAACTCGATCATGCAACTCGAAGTTCTCCTTACCCAACTCCCCAATTCTCTCCTCGAGCCTGGCCTCCTTAGCTTCGGTCGCAGATAAAATATTGTCCAACTCGGAACAAAGAGCCCTGTTCGCCAACTCCAAAACCGTTGTCTCCTTTCGAGCCTCCTATCGAGAGGACTCCGCCTCCTCGACCATCTGCTGCTTCTCGGTGACTTCCCCTATGAGAGTGTCAATCTCGAGCTGGCATCCGTCCAACTGGCTTCGTAGTTAAACCAGCTGATTTTGAAAGTCGCTGCATTAGGCCTCCATGCCCTTATTCAGTTCGAGCTCCTCTTTCTTTCTCCTCAACGCTCCCTCGAGAACGCTAAATCTCTCCACGGCCGCCATCAGCTCCTCATCTTTCTT